CAGCTGCAGCCGAGCGCCGACCGGACCGGGCTGACCCCGCTGCTCCACCGGCTGCGGCTCAAGGTCGGTGTGCGGCGGGTAACGAACGGGTAACGGGGTGGGCTGCTGGGGTGCACTGGAACTGGGGACGCTGCGGAGCATAGGGGGTACGGGGGCACTGGGCGGGAGTGTGAAGTGAGATAACGCGCAGGTACCCTCGAAATGCCAGGCAGTGGAAGGATTGTAGGAAAAATTATTGCCGAAGTCGAGAACGCTAGACTTAAAAGAACATTAACCTTATCGGCGTTTCAAACACCGGGCCCTGGGAAAAGGCACTCCCCCCTGTTCTTCTCGGGGCTTTTATCATCCCTGCCTGCCCCCTGCTCTGTGGGGGCCTTAGACATGTCTGTAGGACTTATCTTTTCTTATATTAGGGACCTTTTCTCTGGAATGGAGGAGGAGAAAACATTAAGACTGCCTGTGGGGAAAGATCCCTCTTTTAGGCAGGAAAGGTTTCTTAAGTGAAAACTCTAGTCTTGTAAAATCTTTCGGAAGGGTCTTCTACCCTTACAGGGCAGTGGGGTGGGGGGAAATGGGGAGGCTGGGGAAACGGCTACTGGGTGCAGGGGGGAACGGCTGCCCTGACATCCCCTTCCCCCCAAATGTCCTGTAGGACCATGACTGTGCCACCCCAGTGTCCCGTGCCTGGGGCCCCTGCAGCAGAGTCACCAAGGTGCCTTGCACTCCTGGACCCCTGCGAAGTGCTACCCTGCTCCCCCCCAGCAGCACCACCTCAATGCCTTGCACCCCAGGGCCCCAGAACAGCACCACTTTGGAGCCCTCCAGGACTTCTGCCCTGGGCCCCCACAGCTCGGAGCTCCCCAGGACTCCCACCCTTAAGCCTGGTGCCTCTGAGGCCCCCAGCAATCCCGCCGTTATGCCTGGTGCCTTGGAGCCCACCAGCAGCACCAGCCCAGAGGCCCCTGGCAGTCCTATTCCAAAGGTTAGCACCCCAAAGCACCCTGACAACACTGTGCCAGCACCTCTGTTCAGCCTGGTCCAGAGGCTCAGCAACACGGAGCTCTCCAGCATCACTGTGCCAGCCTCCGTGTGCAGCTCCATCCCAGTCCCCAGCACCCTAGAGCCCTCTGGAAACACTGTGCCAGCTCCCCCGTGCAACTCCATTCCTGTGCCCAGCACCCTGGAGTCCTCTGGAAAGGCTGTGCCAGCTCCCCTGTACAACTCCATCCCTGTGCCCAGCACTCCTAAGTCCCCTGGCAGCGCCATAAAAGCTCCCCTGTGCAGCTCTATCATAGGACCCTGCACCCCAGGGCCTCCTGGCACCAGCTCCACCCCACAGAATGTTTCTTTCCATGGGTGGCAAGTGGCACCCCCAGACTTTTCCTGCAGCCCTGTGGCCTCTGAGTCCCCTCCTGGAGATAAGAGTGCTGGTCCTCTGCCTTGCCAAGGCACCCCTGAGGGAGCCGAGTCCCCTGCCCCTGCCCCTCCAGAGCAGAGCCCACCTGGACTTGCTTCCATCGGGACAAGTGTGTTGGAGCCTGCTGGGTCTGAGGCAAGCATCGCCCCTGTCACCTCTCCTGAGCTGGCCCCAGGTGCTGTGTCCTGGATGTTACCACTGGAGTGGCTGGAGAAGACCCTCAATGTCCCATCTCTGATGGAATCCCTGCAGCACAGCCTGCCCCTCCACATGCCACAGCAAGATGCCAACTGCAGTGTCACCCCTGTGTCCACCGCGGTCACGGGCACCAGCAAGACCCCAGTGGCTAGCGTGGATGCTGGCACCAGCATGACCCCTGTGTCCA